TGGTACTACCAGGAAAACGCCTCCCCCACTAAGAGCGACCCTGGATTTGAGTGTCCCAATCCCGAGGTCACTCAGCATTATCTCCCGTCTCGCGACGGTGAGTGCCTCGCTCAGGTTGCTCTGACCGGAGAGCATCACCGCCGCCGAGCGCGGAAGCCGCTTCCGCACCGCAGCAATCCGGTCCATCTTGGGCTTGATCCCGCCAAGGGCCGCCCTCGATGGGCCCCGCCCGGTCCGGAGTGCAGGGGCGGGGGTCCGAGATTCCGCCTCCTCCCTTTTGCTCTTCTTTCTACCGCCCCGGACGACGGTAGCCCAGCTGTTGGGGTTCTCCATCACCGGAGCGGTCTCCCCCTTCTGCGGAGGACCGAGAGAAACGGCGGGAGACCCCGTGAAAGGCTGGGAGATACTCCCACCCACCCGAGGGACCGCCACCCTAGTCCTCCCTCCCCTCCTCTTCTTCCTCCCCCACTACCCCGAGCTACCCTCCCAACGGAAGACGCCCGGGGCCGGGAAGAGGGAGGAGCCGGAGGAGGGGGAGGCATAGCCACCCTCTCCTTTAGCCCCCTTAATCTATCGCCAAACTCAGAGAGTGTTTTGGCGATCTCCCTCAGAGTCGCCGTAAGGCCCCCTGACGAGGGGTGTGGGGCACCCCCCTCACCCTCCACCACCTCCATGGCGGCTTCCCCAGCACTATTCATGCCGGGGGGGGCATCGCCCTTCCCAGTGGAGGCGGGCTTCTCGCCAGCCCGTAGGTTGGCGAGCTCCGCCTGCATTTTTCGGGTACGGCGTTGGAGGCGTCCATTTTCTGCCTTGACAGACTCCACGACACCCTCCAACGCCTGAACCCGCTCCCTCCAGTATCCAGGGTCTCCGTTCTCAGAGGCCCGCCCGGCCAAAGTCCGGACGACCTCTCTAGGACGTAGACCCCCATCTTGTGCTTTCCGCTCTATCCCCCCTTGAGGTTTCCGGCCCTCTGCCGTACTTCCTCGATGGAGAGGAGCCCTCGATCGATGTTACGCAACATCTCTTCCTTGTTGCCCCTCTCCATCCTCCTGATTTCCTCCTCGGCCCTCCTCTTCTGAGGGCCAGTGAAGGGGGGCAGGACGATCTCCGCGGAGAATTCTCCTCCCACCGATCCCCCCGCCTGTGAGGCAGTT